CTGAAATCCTTGCTGCTGCATCTCCAGCAAGACGGTCAGCGGAGGATATTTTCCCACTCCCTCCTGCCTTAGATTGAAAACGGCGCCTGAAGTTAAACCGCAGCAAACAGCGCGAGAGGGACTCAGGCATGCTCAATTTTTGTGCGATGACAGCTGACAAGTGCCGCACGCGTACACGCCTCTGGGCCAGGAATGTGTTGGCGGAACCCGAGTCTTAAATTTGCTCTACATTTTTTTTGAGGGGGGTGAGGTTCAAGGGGTTGCATTTCACGGCCTGAATCCTATCGGGATAGCCGAACCATTAACAATTTGGTCGTCAGATATATTTTTGGATTATACAAATGTCCAGGTAGGAGTCGGATCTTTACGGAATCAAGTGCTTTTTTCAGCACACACACACAAAATCAGTGTGTCAAAACCATTTAAAAGGGAAAAGGGCTTCTTCTTTACATTTTATAAGAATTTTCTAATGTGTCACGTCACGAAAATGTTCATTATAGGTTCATTCTTATGCTTCGAAATTATATTTTTTATATAACCCCCCATTTCAAAAATTGCAAGCTAACAACGGGGCAGGATGCAAATACCCTAATGCTACTTCCAAAGCAGTCTGTGTATATTTTCACGGCTTTTAGGGTAATGAAGCCACAGCCAGACTGCTTTTCATCAGGAGGACTGTTCGAGAAACACTCATGTCGCGCAGAGAACAGCGACCGTTGAACATCACCCCCATCAGTCCTACAGTGACCGCATAAGAGGATGCGTTACATGTCCAAAGTAACCCGTTCGCACCCCAAGGTTAATTAAAGTAAAGACCTGCGACGTGATGATAGGATACAAGGAAACACGATGCCGTATTACATCGCTGTCACTCAATCCACACATCCTCGTCAGTGCTGACTTTCTCTGCATTAAAGAGCGAGGTCCTGCGCTTGGCAATATTCGTGCCCGAAAATTGTACATTATTTACCTTTTTGAAGTCGTGCAAGGCTAAAACAGACCCATCCTGAATTCGGCTCCTCGTAGAACTCTTCGCTTGTATTCTTGTACATTTCTGTAGCAGTCCTCAGATCAGAAATGGTACGTATGTAATTACACTGCGATAATGAGCATTTTATTAAAACAAATACTCGCGATTATGTGGAAACAAAACTCAAAAAATTTACAAGACATTGTTGATATGTGATGTACCGTATCACCGCATTGGTGAATATTCCACGCGCGTAATCTTCACACCTGTGAAACCATGCTCATATCAATTTTGCGACATGACTTAAAAACATTATTTGCAGTTTTTACAAGTACGTAAATGTAAATGAAATTTATAATATAATACGAAAGGGACATTGAACTAATTAGTCTTTTTGTTGCTTTGCTCAGTAGACGCTACAAAAATAGTCACAAGTAAAATAAATTCAAAATAACAAAAGACGATGCACCTGTTTATTGAAAACAAATCATTTAATCATAAATATCTAGGAATAAAAAGTTCGGTAAATCGACAAACAAAGTTTGATTATGAAGGAAGGGACGCCTGCCGTTCAAAACCGGATGATTAGTTATCGTTACCAGTCTTAACCGCGGACGCGTCCTCCAGCACTACGAGGCAGCTGCTTCGGTTTCCGCGTGAGAACGCCACGCTAAGGAAACGACTCCTTATCCGTCGGCTTTTCAGTCAACACCGATAATTTACGGTAATGTCATATTCACCCGGTCCATTCTTAGTTCCATTGTCAGCGTCTCATCATCGTGGCAATTATAGCTAAAAGTGCATTGTATTTGACGGGTTACTCGGTGCCATTAAAGTGGATTCAGTCAGATTAAGACAGCGACCGTTGTACGCAGTTCGAAAGAAAAAGACGATTTTTTTTCATTCAGCCTACAAGCTTTACGATAACTAATGATTGAAAAATTGATTCAAAGGGTTGTGTGATTGCATTTAAACATTCTGCTCTCAAAGAAATGGCCCTTTTATACTTTTACACCTCGAGACGAGCATATGCAATGGGACCCGTCGTCTCAACTACATGCAGTTCAGTGATTGAGACCGTGTATCTTGGTATGTGTAAAACATATGCCAAGTTGAAAACACGAAGAAAGCACGTTTTAACTGTTACCAATTAATATTAGAAATATAATTTACATAAGATATGTGATTGTGATTACATTCAAACCTATTGCATCATATTATTTTTGTCATATGGAGCAGTGTAATAGTCGTGAGTCCACTGTGACCGCAACTTTAACCAACCCACCGTCGTTAACAACAAAATAATGTGACTCTTTCTCTTTACATGAGATGGCAATATCATCTCTTGACATGGAGTAGCCGGTCTCTGCTTGGTACTTTGTCATAAACTTGCCCAAACCTCAGAAGTGGCACAGTTATTTCACGCTATACCCATTTCCCATTTATTTAATCAATCACAAAAAAAGATTCCTCTCATAAGTGTTTAAAAAGCGTTTCTGAAACCCAAACAGTGAAAGAGAGGAATTAAACGTCAGACTTGGCCACACTGCTTATTCAGATAAAAAGTATACTCTTTTGGTTGAACAAACCCGGAGTTCAATCCAATTTCGATATGAAATTTCAACACAAAATTCATAACACCAAGGACTATTGGAATACATACACATGTACATGGCAGCTGCTGCACAAAAATGCACGTTGACCACATACAGGGGTTTCTGATAAATATATAAAAAGTGATATTACAATTTCTCATATTCAGACTTGACGATCTCTGGGCCAATAAACCGAGTACATTCGGGTGTTCTTAAGAAACTACCAGCCCTTATTTAATCAGTTCCAGGGGAAAAAATACACAGGTTGAAGTGCGTACGTGTTTTGTCGATTCTGTTTGCGCCTGGTTGATTTCGGAGAAATGGACAACCCTAGCTTTTCAACTTTTTTTCGTATGAAGATAATTCATAAAGAAATTTTCCTCTTTCGAAGCGGCAAATTTTAGTAAAGCTTGAGCTCTTTTGCAGGCGGGAAGGAGCGTTTGAAAGAGTGAGGGTGCTTGCAATTCCTTTACGAAAGGTCATCACTACATAGGCATATAGGAAAAGATTTCACTTGGCACTGTAATAACACTTCGGGTTCACCAGGAACAGCGTTCCGTCAACAGGCCATGTTTTATTCATCATATCAGGGGCGCGCTTCACGGCACTTGAAGTTTCTCTCTTTCCCCTGACTGCCCGCTGGCCGTGTAAAGAGCAGTGCCACGCTGTGGTCGAAAGGGGGCATTTTATTTCAACAAGACAAGAGTGCGGGGCTTCGTCCTGGGGCCGGGGACACAGACCCGGGGAGGTGACTTTCAAGTGCGTTTCTCAACGGCATTGATTGTGTATTGGATCTCCTTTTCTAACTCGAGCCTTCTGTAATTGTATCCCATGCAAGGGCGAAAACGATAATAGGTTCCTGTGCTATCCTCACGAAATCTTGCAAATAAAATCAAAGGTGCAAAGAAAACACGAGGAATTGCGAAAACGTGACGTTTGGAAAGAGTTATTCGGTTATTTTCAAAAAGTTGCCCACGCATCACACAAAGTTATAGTTGGCTCTATGTAGCATTCTGTTAAAAGATCAAAGTTTTGACAAAATCCGCTTTGCATTACTTTTGACGAGCTATGGTATGGGAGTTACAACTAAAGGCCTGATCCCGATATTCACTTCATGTCAACTAAAGCAATCACTTACAACAGTAGAAAAACAAGTATTTCAATTAGAAAATAAGTTTGTAATGCACTGTGAGCAGCTGTGCTTCAAGCAATGAAGGATTGAGTAAAATGATGAACACACATTATTGAGACAATCATTTACACCCAGAAAAGTCAATTATCAAATTTTAAAAAGAAAGGGAAACAAACGAGGTAATGCCTTTTGCTACATTCCCCCTTTATTATTAAACTTTAAATTTGCTTCATATCTGAATATCCAAAGACAAAAAAATCATTACGAGTGTATATTTTCCTCTCGGGAAAGGTGAAGCAAAAATGGTTGGAGAAAACCCTGTTACGATAAATCACAATAATCATTTAACCGTGCAACGGTTATCTCAATTTTCCGCGGAATTAGAAGTGGCAGGTCTCTTCCTCTGGCCGTTCCGGTCGATTTGATTTCCCGACAAAACCGTTTCCCTCATCTTGTCACGGCCTGCCGTGCCTACAGAACAAGAGTATGATTCGGGAAACGGAAGTGTTTGCCGAACACTTTCTTCACTGAGACTCAAACGGGCAGAGCCTGGCGTATTTACTGTGACAACACAAAACACTTTTGTCTACAGTGAGCTTATTAAAATGGCCTTCGCCTATTGAACTCCGTGAAACATATCCCATCATTACTACCATAAACGGCAGCCAATCGGTTACAGTCTGTATTCTGCAGTCTGCTTAATTAAGGTTTTTTATTTATTTATTCACTAAGGGCTAAAAGCCTTTGAGTGGTTTATGCAAATGATGCAAACAAGACTTCAAGTCCATACCTCGTGCTTTACTTTTCGTATTGTTAATGCGACTTATTTCTCAACCCGTTTTTCTGTGGAAAGTACTGATGTCAGTACAATGTTAAAATAGTCACTGTTTCTTCGCAATTTTTCACTTTTATAATCTATGTGATAGAAAACCTTTAACAAGTAGGCCAAGCTACAACTACTATAGTGGGAATAGTACTTACTCTTTCTTCGATTTAATATGTATCACGGATTTGTGAACAATCACGTTATACAAAACAATAGTTCATTTATGACTTTATATCTTTATATTTATCTGAAACTATTTCCGAAGTACAATGCAGATATAAAAATGATACTGAAAAGGGAGAAGAAAGAAGGAATTTCCCTTGTTTTTACTACTTTCAGAAAATAAAATGAAAGCAATTATTTCAACATGAATCTTCCATTTTTCTCCTGAAACCATTCCCTTCATCACAACAATTTGAACTCGACAAAAATAATGCTACAAAATAGAATTGTGTGAACTGGAGATAAAGGACTCACCTGGAATATATGGAAACCGCTTAGAATGATAGCAAGACTAAACCGAGCTGTGAGAGAGAAGTCGAAACAATTCCAACACCCCAAAAATGAGTAACTGTTAGGAAGGTGCGTTTGTCATGTGTCAGACCACCTCACGCCTGACGTATATTACTGAGACACGACTCTCATTGGTCCTCAGCCCAGCATTGATTATCATGACTGCGTATTGATTCCCTTTTTGATGATTAGCTGCCTACGAGACCCATGGGCATGCGTGGTGAGAGGCAGGCGGCATTGCAATGCGCAGATAAAAGCTTGGGGGGGAACTGAAGTACCGAGTAATTTGTGAAATTGTCATTAGGACTTGGGTGGAATATCGTGAGGAACGACGACAGACTAGGAGTGAGGGCGAGCTGGGTGGATGAAAGAAGGCATGAAATGGAATAAGGTGAAACGGGAAAGGCAAGCCCGCCGGAAGGGAATAGGCCTAATAGGAGGATTACGAGGGTCCATCAATTGCATGTTACGAGTGCAAGATCAGGCAATACTTAGGTGTGGTAAATAGCAGCGTTCGTGGTGGTAAAGAGCAACAATGGCAGACTAAAAAATGTACACCAAAACTAAAATTGAAAATTTATATAATAATATTTCTATAATAGAAATAACTTGCAATCAGCATCTCAAGCAATTAATTAATCAGAACTGCCCAAAACTATGAATGGTAAATTAAAATTCGAACTCCTTAAAACTGTTCAAGCGACGTTTTGTTCAGACGGATACTTTAGTTTCAGTCAACTTCAAAAACACACCACTAATGTAATGCACCAGTAATTTATCCACAAACACATTCATCTGCAAAAACAAATCCGTCTTCCATCAAAGCAAACGGATGTTCCGAGCCATCACCATAACTAGGACCTGCTGCGCCTCAAACGACACAACTACATGCATCATTTGCCTTACCTGGAGCAAATTATGTAAAAACACTGTGGGCTTTGTCATAACAGTCATAATGGAATTGCACTGGGGCTCGTCAATCTGACGTCCAGCTGGAATTGTTTACAGTAACTGGTAAGAAAGTTATTTGACAGGTAAAGGATATCTGCAGCAAACCTGAACGAGACAAGCCATGAACAAAGCAATACCTCCCAAATTAATCTGGTCAGTAGGGCCTGGTGACACTACCCAAAACTGATTGATACATGACATTTACTGTTTGAACGAAATTAACAAGGTATTAAAGTTTTGTTAGTGCCTTGTCAATGAACAAAAATAAAAGAATACAATGTCTTTTCTTTCGTAAATTGGACAAAAATGTTTTCATTTTTATTAAACATCATTGAACGTTTAACGTCGATTATTAGTTTCACATGAAACAATTTGTGACTCAAACCCAAGATCAAATTTGTGAAATCGTTAGAAAACTTGAAACTGACGTTGTTTTGTCTGTAGCAAACTGAGTGACCAAATAACAAAACGTTAAATTCAATTCACCAATAATAATTAAGTTAAAATGATAATAGCGCTTCTATCACAGAATGTCCAGCCGGCTACCATTTTGTTTAATCTCGTTCTTATCAAACTCTAGACCTCAGTTACCTACACCGACAACAGAACGGCAAGGTTATTTACTCAACAAAGAAAATTATGCTTCAACAGCACAACCATTAACATATCAGTGTGGAACTCTTGGACTCGTGAAATTTATTCTTCACCCTTACGTCATAAAGCATAAAACATAATAGCACCGTGCATGACAATAACTTCAAATGTGTTGCATTCTTCATAACGCAATCGGATCATTTAAAATAGGGATCGAACTTGTTGTATATCATAAAATAAGTGCATCTGTGCCCAGCAAATTCAAGGAAAAGAAAGGTCAAGTTAAAAATAGTATACAAAGACAACACTATTCTCCGATGCAGTTACATGTTTCTAATTTACCTGTTTTCACACGTTTTACATTCACAAGATTTTTAATAGAAACCTGCATTATGTCCAAAAAGCTTGGTAGCAACTCGTTAATATACAATACGTAGAGGAGCAGAGTGGAACGCCTCTGCTTCAGATTAGGAAATAACGTAACACATTGCTTCCTCGTGAACAACTTGCTGCTTTGGCATTATAGGCAGCTGCATAAATAAATCCGTATTATGAAATCTGCATGAAGAAAATACTTTAAACGCTAAACCAGACGTCTCAGAGAATGCCTTTCTGTACGCTAAAATGGCCCAGTTCACCTACCGATCATGCTCGAAGTTTCGCCGACATTTCCAGTACCTCCAAAATATCTGCAAAGTTAACATGGAAAGGTTCGCTTATACTCCTCGTAAGGCATCATTTTGTACATTGTTATTTACATGTATATTTATTGTCTACATTACTATGTACTGACATGAACGTGAAATAAAAAAGGAAAACAGCTTACAGTTATTTACATGTTTTTGAAAAGGGTGGGGCTGAGTTGATTTGTGACTATAATAGGGATTCAGTTGCGCTTGAGTTGGGTGATTTTCGTAGTTCATTGAGATGATTGATAATCTCGATCACCAACTCAGTCGTCTCGTCTGTAACACAACTTAACTTTTAAACAATGTCAAGTAATTTTTTTTACAAACTAGTTGGCATTACCGAGATACACTGGCCTAGGCCTATATTGTGGAGTTTATCTAAGTATTACGGGATTTTTCATCTCTACGTGGAAAAATTGAAAGCGTGTGCATTATTTTGTAGACTTCAGGAGGCATCATTGAGGTTTCAGATGAAAGAGAAAATTTAAAAAGTGGAATAAGATCTTCTACATGTGAGGAAAGTATTGCAGACACCTTTGCAGTGATACACTGTCTGAGACTCTAGCATCGAGTAGACAGGTGGTATGGCAGAGGCTCTTTATGCAGCCATAGCCCCTGTGCTAATTCCGTCAGAATGAACACGCGTGCGCTGTCGACTGCGTAATTAGTACCGATTTGCAATAACATGGTGACGATTGATTACCCATCATGCATCGGGTGGCTGGAATGAGCAAGGGTAGATTTTAGAGCATAGATTTGTAAGTTAAAGTATGCCAAATGGAACTAATTCCGGTAAAGTAGTGGCAAATTTGTCAGGTTAACAACAGAACGGACCTGAGGATAAATTTGCATACCAAAATATTTTTTCCATTAAGCTTACAACAAAACACATTAAAAAGATTCTTTAGAATCGTCATATAATGAAAAAAGGTTAGAAGAGGCGTAGCAAATTACATCAACATTCATGGTCTGCAACAACAATGGTGTTAATAAGCATTCACGGACCGCACTCAGAAATAAATTTTGTCGAAGATTATGATTAACACTTAAAAAAAATGAAAGCAAATGTAGCAAATTTATGGCCGTTGGTAATCACAGATACCAATGCTTTAATTGATTTCTTTTAAACAGCAAAACGCGCAAAACCCTTGCCGCAGTACAGTGTAGCATGGCAGAACCACGGCGAAGCTGTGTGTTCCATCCTTCTCTCGTGTTTGGTTGTTTGTGACAAGCCGTCGTCTGTATAAGAATCCCCAATAGTCGTAGATCATGCTCCTAGTAAAGGTTCAAATCCTTGTTTTCGGGTTTAAATCCTCGATGAACCTAAACTCGTGCTCAGTGTTAATTCTATTATTCCTGTTATTCAAAGACTCGTTGTAAAATCAGACTATCCAGCAAAAAACTGAATACAGTCAGATGTATTTGTCCACCGGCCTTAATTGGCAATTAGCTCTAAGTGCTCTAGATTGTTTTACCTAACTGAGTACTTAAAGTACTGAAACCCCGCAGTCGCTTTATTGGTCTCCAGCTAGTAAATGGTGTATTTACGCCAACTGCGGGGTTCCCATTGCAACCGACGAGATCGATCATGAGTACAGGAAGATAGTATCTTAACAAGGGGAGGGGGCATTGGATTCTGTTCGATAAGCGTGTGTGTTTTCACAAATATGCACATTTGTGCTAAATTCTTAACAAAGGGAACATGCCCCATCACTCCAATAAAGATATTTCATCATACGACCACAGCAATTGATGTACAATAGTATTTTCAATTGTTTGTTTGGCGAGGGCAACATTCAACATCTTCGATAAAGTTCGTGCTGTGACACTAAAGGCCTATTTTGTTCTTGTTCTAAATTCTTACACGCCAAAAATATAAAAACCATTTTACAATTACCTTATTTTTTCACTTCGCCTGCCACAATACTTGTCAAATTGTGAAGCCTTGGTGAAAATGAAAGTAGAATACACACCATCAACGCATTTGTATCATAGGTGGAAGAGGTTCGCATTCACGATTTGACAAATACTGCAACAATCAATCACAAGATGTAGACTCACGACGTGGTAGGCTTGGACCCACTTGTTAATTAATTAGACTGGATTGAAAGCTTTGACAAAATACACTGGACACGTGTAAAATATGTACTAATGCCAGCATTGATTGCTCGCACATCGAATCTTCATTAATTAATTATCTCAGTAAATGCCTCCATGGGTAAATTTTCTGACAAATGGAAGTAAACATCACAGTGATTTGTGTGTTGTTTACTCTTAAGCAAATCTACAGGAATATCGGTACTGGAAGATTGTTTCCCTTTAAGGCCGTGTCAGAGAAGGGCGATTCTATAATCTATGACTATGGCATTGCACAAAACATCAACTACTACCTAAGGTCTAAAGTGGTTTTATCAACTTAAAAGTCTCTTATACAACTTGAGATTCGTCTTTCTAGCTGAAAAAAATAACGACAATTTTAAATTGCGTTTTCTTCGTCGCTGAGGACGAACCTTGTTATGTTGACATCTTCTTGACATGTTTGGAGTGCAATTTGAAAGTGGGAACTCTTTCTTCACGGTCATTACCTTATTTCGAAGGAAGGAAAGCTTAGTACAAGAACAAAATTCTATTAAAAAAACAAACGTTTCATTGCAATGTGTACTCTTTCAAACTTCTTTTCTGAAACTACAGGTCTATTTTATCTCATTATCCCGTCATTTGTTGAGTGTAATTTATTCATAATTGCACGCGTGACATTAACATAAAGTCAGAAACTCTTTAAGCTTTCGTATGCATTTCCTAATGTCTAATAAGCTACATAGATATTTTCTTTTCTTCCGATACTGCTTTGATGAAACTTAACA